TTATTCTGATAATATAAGTTTACAATATTATAAAAATTTAAAAATCCCTTCTGCTAGAATAGCTAGACTAACATTAAAATTCTAGATTATGATTTTGTTATAAAACATAAACCAGGTAGGGAAAATCTAGTAGCAGACTGTCTCTCTAGAGAAGGTATAATGAATATTATAGATGCTGTGATATTTGATTATTGCAATGATAAAAATTATCTAAACCCAAAAGACAAAAATAGTATTAATTCTTCTAACACATTAAAAAATAATTACACAAATGATATTCACAATAATACTCAAATTGACGATAAAAATAATTATGCGCTTAATAACAAAAAAATATTAAATTACAAAAACAATTATAATATAAATTTTAAAAATAACAACATAAATAATATAAGTAAAGAAAACAAGATAAATTTTGATTTAAATTATATCGGTAAAAATAAAATAAATAATTTAAAAGAAAATATTGATGGTATAAATAAAGGATTAAACAATAAATATGATTCTGATAAAAATTTTGGCACTTTTAAAAAAGAAATTACTAATAGAAATAGTATAATGTTTTATGATAATAAATATAGCTTAGAACCTCAGGAAAATAGAGATGAATTAGGCATTAATGAAATTTTGAATATTGAAAATAATTATAAAAAAATTTGTAAACATACTATTTACAATGATGATTTTAATAATAATGATAGCCATGATAATAATAAGAATGCAACCTATATTAGCCACTCCAAAATAATAAGATCAATATAAAATACATTAAAAATTTAAAAAATAATGAAGCGCATAATAATTTAAGTAATATAATTAATAAAGAGAATTTTAATGAATCATTTAATAACAATAGCTTAAACAAAACATTTAACTTAAATAATATAGAAATCCAAATAAACATAGATATTAAGAAACATCAGGAAACAGATATATTTTGTCAAAATATAATCAAAGCATTAAATAACCAAGAAGTATCTCATAAAATTCGTAAATTATCTAGAAGATACATTTTAATGAATGATATTCTATACCTTAAACAACACAATCCAAAGCAAAACATTAATAATTTAATTGTAATTCCTCAATCACTAATTGAAAAAGTAATTTCTGGGAATCATAACCCACCTCTCTCAGGACATTTAGGTATAACAAAAACAATCAAAAAAATTCAACTTAAATATTTTTGGCCCTCTTTAATAAAAGNGTTCAACTGAAATATTTTTGGCCCTCTTTAATAAAAGATGTAACTAATTTCATAAAAACTTGTCATGAATGTCAAGTAAACAAAAAATCAACTGCTAAACCAGCAGGTATTCTGCAACCCATTCGTTTACTAGATTGTAAACCATTAAGTCGAATCACAGCAGACTTTGCTGGTCCGTTTCCAAGTAGTAATAAAAAAAAATATATACTTGTATTCACTTGTCAAAGTTCTAAATATATTTTTACAAAAGCCACCAAAAATGCGGATGCTAAAACAGTCATTAACTTTTTATTAAATTTCATAACTACATATGGTGTCATGAGATATTTTACCAGTGACAGAGGTAGTCATTTTCGAAATAACGCATTAGCAGATATCTGTAAACACTTTGGTATTAAACAAATATTCTCTTCTTATGCACCTCAGTCACAGGTTTTACAGAAAGAGTTAATGGTATATTATGTCAAGCCATCAGGCATTATGTTAGTGAAAACCAAAATCGTTGGTCATATTATCTTCCATATATCACTTTTAGTTACAATAATAGTCCACAAATCTCAACAAAATATACTCCATTTTATATATTACATGGATTTAATGCAGACATAACTATAGATTTGCAAATAATACCTGAAACATTAACATATGATTTAAAACAATCTTTAGAAAAGCTTAAACATGTTAGAGATACAATACCAGAACTAATTAAACAGGCCCAAAACACACAGAAAGAATATTATGATAAAACACATAGACTAACACAGTATTCACCTGGTCAATTAGTTTTAATAACCTTTCCATTTCAAGAATATAATAAAACTCCTAAATTAGCACATAAATATAGGGGACCCTTTAAAATTATTTCAAAATTAAATGATGTTAATTATATTGTAGAATTAACACTAAATAATAAATTAACTAGAGATGTAATTCACATTAGGCGAATGAAACCCTATCACAATAGAGAAGAAAGAGTTTCATCATCAATAGAACCTTCATTCAAAGATTAGTCAACACAAGGTAAAATAAATACAAATTCAAAAAAAAAAAACCTTTTTAATTCTTATATTAACTTCAATAATCAATATTCATTCTCTTTAACAAAACTTTTGTCATAAAAAAAAAAAAAGGTTAAGATGGAATAAGGGTGTTTTTTGTCATAAAAAAAATGAGAGTTAAATGGATATATATTGATATATTGATTGACTATGTATGTGATATTTATCTTTTGTCGCAAAAAGGGAATTATATAAGTAGGTTAATGTTTTGTATATTGGGATGGTGAAATCCAATAAATAGTTTTTTTATATGAGAAGAAATGAGAGGATAATTAAATTGAATATGAGTATAAATATTATGTTAACCTGAGTTTTGAAATTCGTTTAGCTACAAAATGAAAAAAGCATATGGCATAAAATCATAAATTCTTTGTTTTGATATAATGACCACTCCTATTTTGTCGTAAACTATAGATCGCAAGTAAATCACTTCTGTATGACGCACAATGAAACGTGCAACGATTAAGAAGAAGAATTTTACGATTCTTAATATTTAGTGGTTGTGTTATAGAAATAATAAACTGTGTGTGTTTACGTAAATTGCAAGTGTCCAGTTGTTGGGCGCCAAGCCTTAATGGCTAAATTGTTATTATTTTTTTTTTATAGGTATTAAATATGAACTAAATATTTATGTTTAACGCAAACTGTTGCGTCCTGAGTGGTAACTAAATAACTATTAATAATATTTTCCCTCTTTATCTGTTATTTGCTTGACAAAAGTTATTCTTGATCTACCTTATGTTTATTTTTTCTAATTTTTTATGACATGCTTAGAAATATAATTTCTTACCTTGTGTCCAGCTAGCTTGATCGTTTGTTGTAAAAATGATATAAATAAAAAGAGCACTGACTTTTATCTATTTATTTATTTTGTAAAATTATGCAAATTATTACTTCACTGTGGTTTCTTTCTATACTTGGTGTCTGAGTATATGTGTTACTTTATATTTTAAAATGAATATTTAAATAACCAGATAGGTTATGAGAGCCAATCCCTAGTGACACGTTATAAACTATTTTTTTACGAATAGTTTTAACCGCTAGATGTGCTAGGGTAATGACTTCAACAAACTATCAATATTTTATGAAATTGTGTGTTTGACATGAGAGTCGACAGAGTTAGAGACAGGCTGGCTACACCATCGGAGATTACTCTCGTCGATGCACGGACCTTACAGAGTCAAAAACTGCTTGCCGAAAAGAACGTAATGGAATATGAGAATCAATCCCTAGTGACACGTCACAAACTATTGTTTTACCAATAATTTCAACCGCTAGATGTGCTAGGGTAATGATTTCAACAAACCATCAGTATCTTGTGCAATCAATCAAACACGTATCTATTTAAATTTAAGATACATTCTACGATCTCCTTAGTGACACGTCACAAACTATTGTATTACAACAGTTTCAACCGCTAGATGTGCTAAGGTAGATTTTCGAAATGCACTTATTAAATAGACACTCCAATTGAAGAATTAAAAAAAATTCTTAATTGGAACAACTCACAAAATACAAAATAAAAATATTAAACGTCTTAATATTTTATGAATATTTAAGACTAAAAATAAAAAGATAAAAAGGTTAAGTTATTTATTTAAATTACATTACTTACGAGAGATTTAGATGATAAACACCAAGTATAAAAAATTTTTAAATCATAGAGAGCACAATCGCGAGATATTCTGGTTCAAAAATACTTCATGACCAAATTTTAAAAAAATGAGGTCGTAAATGAGCTAAAAATCGCTCTTTTATAGGCCCGTTTTATGAGGGGGAGATTTAATGTTTTATATTTTAATTGCCAATCCTTCTCATTGGTTAGTCAAGGAAACTTGAATAGACCTGTGCGCAATCTATTATTCTACTAATTTGAGTTAATGTTTCATATTTGTATTGGTGTTTATATCTATCATCTTCCATAATAATGTGGTTTATTAGAAAAATTATCAATATAAAAATATAAATAAAATAAAATTATAAGTGCTAAATATCTATTACAATTTCATAAATCTAATAGGTACAATGATTCTTCACAGTAGACCAAATAACAACCCAGTATTACTTATAATATTAATACCTTTTCTCACAAAATATGTCTCATCTTTTACAGCATTCAGTTGTAACGGACATAAACTAAATATAACATCCTTTAATGCTCTCACAGTTGATTACTGTCAATCACCACCTCCATCAAAAGTAGTAAAAATTCCTTCTATCAAATTATTAAAACGCACTGAATCACACACAATTCCTTTTAAAGCTTGCTATATTTTAGCTGACTATTTCATTTCAAAATGTAGTACATTTGATGATGCTCAAATGGTTAAGGGTGGATTCTTTTCTGAAATAATAGATATTTCACCTATTCAATGTTCAGACATACATCATCGACAAATATATCAAATAAATAATAATGCAATTATCAGTAACATAAAAATTAACCAAACTAAATATTTCTCTGCTACAATAGCAGGTAACATTTCTCCAGATGGTAATTGTCAAGGTAGCTCATTTTCTAACTCCAATGAAAATTGGGATAATGTAGTGGTACAAGCTAAATACAAACTATATATCTCAGATGGAATTGGAATAGTAAATTATAAAGACGATATTTTTATTTCACCTTCAGGTACTAGATTTAAATTTACTAATTTTCATGGAATAGATACTATTCTAGGGAACATNGGGTTCAGTGCAGGGCTAACAACCCTGCCTAAAAAAAAAACTCTGTTATGAAACCAACTACATCTAAGCCTCGGACAAGACTACATGGATTCAAGACTGGTTTTTGGAAACGGAATGCTGATTTAAAGATTGCGACATGGAATGTGACAACCTTGTATAAAACAGGTGCTAGCCAAAATTTAGCTGAAGTTCTTAACAAATACAAAATTAAAGTAGCAGCCATACAAGAAATAAGATGGTTGGGAGTAGGACAACTAACAATTGGAGAGTACACAATTTTCTTCTCTGGAATGGAATATACACATCACTTCGGTAGTGGTTTTGCAGTCCATAGGACATTAGTACCATACATTAAAGAGTTTAATCCAATATCTGAAAGGATATCAATATTAACCATCAACACTAGCCCAATTAATATTTGTATAGTAAATGTACATGCACCTACGGAAGTAAAAGATGATAATGTGAAAGATGCCTTCTACGACGAACTTACTAATACATATGAGAGCATTACTGGGAACGTGATAAAGATTGTAATAGGTGACTTCAAAGCAAAATGCGGACGGGAACCACAATACTTCTCTTGCATAGGGATAGAGAGTTTGCATAGTAACAGCAATGACAATGGTCAGCGATTGATAGCGTTTGCAACATCAAATGGGTTGACTGTTAGTAGTACTACGTTCCCACACAAAAATATTCACAAAGTCACGTGGAGGTCACCGGATGGCGAAACCTTGAACCAAATTGACCACGTTCTCATACAAAATAGATACCGTAGTACCATTTACGATGTAAGAAGCCAGAGAGGCGCCGATTGTGACACGGATCACTACTTAGTGATTGCAAAACTTAGATCAAAGTTAAAAAGCCAATTGAAATTAAAGCAAGAAAAAAGGATCAAAATTAATCTAGAGTTACTCAAAGATGAAATCGTGAGGAAGAATTATGAGAACGAAGTCACGAAGAACCTTAAAGAGAATAATGCACAAATGAACATAGATCTGGATTGGGAAATAGTGAGAAACGCTGTTAACAAAGCAGCGGCCACTAGTATTGGTGAGCTAAAAAGGTCAAGAAATACTTGGTATAATGATATTTGTAGAGTTGCTGTAGACAGACGCAGAAAATCGAGAAATGAATTTATTAAAAACAACACACAAATGACTAAAGAAAGTTTCATACGGGAACGTAAAGCCTGCAAAAGCACCCTTCAAAGGGAAAAAAGGAAATTTTTTAGCAACATACTTCAAACAGCAGAGAACGACCATACACAAGGGAAAACTAGAAACTTTTTTAGAGTCAATAAACAGTATAAGCATTTTAACCCTATATGGAATGCAATCAGAGACCAAGACGGACAAATGCTAATGGAACCAGAATCAAGAGCTGAGAGATGGAAAGGTTATTTTGAAAATTTACTAAATGGGAGAATACCAGATCAGCCTGTAGCTCATATCGATTATGAAAGAGCGGAGCCCTATGTCGAGGATGTTAGCCTAAAAGAAGTAAAAAGTGTATTATTTGGCCTGAAAAATTGGAAAGCACCGGGTACCGATAATATTCCAGCAGAAGGTGAGGAGCTACATTTAGTAATCCACAGACTGTGTCACCTAATATGGATGGAAGAACGTGTACCGGATAGCTGGAATGAGGCAATCATCATACCATTGCATAAAAAAGGAGACAAGACAAAGTGTGACAATTATAGAGGGATATCGCTCTTAAACTCCGCGTACAAAGTCTTCTCTAGGATATTACTGAATCGCATTATCCCTTATGCAGAGGATTGCCTAGGTGAGTACCAATGTGGTTTTCGGAAAGGTCGTTCAACCACAGAACAATTATCCATAATAGGTCAAATAATTGAAAAGAGATACGAATATCGGCAGAATATGTGACAACTCTTCATAGATTTTAAAAAAGCCTATGATAGTATACACAGAGAGAGTCTCTACAATATTATGGATGAGTTTGGTTTCCCAAAAAAGTTAATAGCGTTAACTAAAATGTGCATGGAAGACACGAGGTACAGAGTGAGAACACAGAATGTAACATCGGATACCTTTACAATGGAAACCGGACTAAAACAGGGGGATGCTCTTTCCCCAGTACTTTTCAATCTTGCCTTAGAGAAGGTAGTAAGATTACTACAGGACAATGAAGGTGGTTTACTAATCGGCCAGAATAAGATACGGCTCCTCGGATTCGCTGACGATTTGGATATACTTAGCGATTCGCTTGCAGACACAGCTAACGCTGCCAGAGTGCTAGAAAAAGCAGCGAAGAAAATTGGTCTTGAGATAAATACTGAGAAAACGAAGATAATGGAACTATTAGATAGTGGGGAGGACCCCAGTGAAATGGAGAATTTAGCATACGAAAAAGTTAGTGATTTTAAATGTCTGGGAGCAACGTTAAGTACAAAGAATGATTGGTCAAAGGAAATAAGTATTCGGGTAAATAAAGCCCAAAAAACGTTCTACACAATGATTAAATTCTTTACATCCAAAATTCTATCTAGAAAAACGAAAGCAACATTGTACACGGCTATTACAAGACCGACTCTCACGTATGGTTGCGAAGCGTAGACAACGAACAAACAAACAGAAAGAAACCTGAGGACTTTTGAGCATAGATTGTGGAGGAAAATATGCGGACCGGTCATCGATGAAACAACGGGAAGTTGGCGGAGAAGGTACAACAGTGAACTATATGAAATGTTGGAAATAGCACCGGTAACAAGTGTTATTAAGGGCCAAAGAATATAATGGTTAGGACACATAGCGAGAAAAAGAGAGAACGAGATAGCCAGGGTAGCATTGGAATGGAAACCACAAGGGAAAAGTCCTAGAGGGAGGCCGAAGAAAAGATGGATCGACGTGGTAGAAGAAGATTTAAGAATCCTTGGAGTTGAAGACTGGAGAGAGACAACCCAAGATAGAGATAGGTGGCGAAGCGTAGTAATGGCGGCAAAAACTCTTAGAGAGTAGGAATGCCAGTAAAAGAAGAAGAATGAAAATTGGGATAATGTAGTGGTACAAGCTAAATACAAACTATATATCTCAGATGGAATTGGAATAGTAAATTATAAAGACGATATTTTTATTTCACCTTCAGGTACTAGATTTAAATTTACTAATTTTCATGGAATAGATACTATTCTAGGGAACATAAATTGGGATAATTTTGAACCGCAAGTAGAAAACTGTAATACACATGAATTTGATGTTTTATATGAAGGTCCAGCAAATTTAGTAATTTCCAAAAATAATGACAATGAAGAAACTCATACATATATAGTACTCAGAAAATTGTTTCAATGAATTACCCGTTATTTTTGAAAACGCCACTAAATATTTATCACCCAAAAACCATATTCTACTTAATCATGGTACTGAAATAGATTGCAGTGAACTAATGCCCTCTGCATATTTTATAGAAAACACTTGGTTTAGTTTATTACCACACTATAGAGAAATTAACCCCCCTCAAACACTATTACCTGAAACAAGTTTCACTTGGTCATATAAGAGTCCAGAATTCTTAATGAATGCTGGATTATATTCTAAGGAAATGATGAACTCATTTCAAAAGCAATTATTATTCCCACAAGAAATTAACATAGCACAAAACTTATTAGCTCGTGAAACTCTAGGCTATAAAATTCATGATCAAGGTCTTCGAATCAAATCTTTTATAGATAATTATACTATAGACAAAATTGTAGAAGATAAATTACAAAAGATTTATGGATGGTTTCTTTGGTTTGGAAATTGTATAAGTGGATTCTTAGGTTTATTTTTTATAACCAAATTAATATTAACCTGTTTAAATACCTTTGTTAACTTTTCTATTTTATATGATACTTTTGGCATGAGTTTTAAACTCTTGGCAGGATTATGTTCCAGCTTTACTCATTTTCTTATGCATAAAAACATTCTAAAAATTATTTTAAAACACAGAACACCGAAACAATTTCCACAGCACCTTTCCTAGAATGAACAATTTAGATGAAAAAGAGAACATAAATAGTATTAAATTTCAAACAAACAATAAACCTTACAATGTTCATTTTTCAAATAATCCAAACTTTAATGAAATTTATCCCACATTACACCATCAATCTAATCAGCATTACAGAAAACCATCTTTATAATTAATTAATAATTTCTCTTATACTAACATTTGTATCATACACAATATTATTCATTTCCAAATTACCTAAAATATCAAAATAAATAATAAACACATGTTCCTATACAAAATACACGTTTTCAATAAAATTTTAAAAACCTTTCACAATTTCACACCATGAAATCTATACAATATCACAAATTATTCCGTTATAACATGACATCTTACTTGTAATGAATCACATTTCATTAATGAACCGTTACACAAACGTGATAAACACAATGTAAAGTTTATAAAAATATACAACGATTACTGCCCTAGAACCTAATGTCATTCCGATATTCCACAAACACGTAATATCATCTGTTAACCATCATTCCATGAAAACATAAACATAAAATTTTATTAGCATACCTTTCAATGTTATTCAAACTCACCATCCCCACATACTTTTTCAATAAATTAAATTTTTCTCACACTATAATTCCCTAGAACAATNGTTAATCTTTTTCTCACACTATAATTCTCTAGAACAATATAACAAAACAAAGTTTACTGGAGTAGTTAGATATAAATTCCAATACAAAAAAAACAGTACTATAATGTAAATCAAATATAATTTTAATATTGAGTGTTCATATATAAAGACATACAACATTTCGTGCCTTATAAAATAAGTACTTGTAACACACATATAAAATTATGCCCATTTCTATTAAATTACTAAATTAATCTCGAATATTATTACTAATATATATTAAATTACTCATAGGTTTAAAAAAATTCAGAACAAGGATATTTTAACTTCATAATATTTGATCCAAACAATTGAATGCATTTTCTGATATCTATAATAACACACGCATATAACATTTTAATACTTTTATAACTCTTATTCACTTATCATTCTTAAATCCAAAATAATGCATTTAGACAAAACAAAAAGATTAAGCTCTAAGAAATATTAGTTTAATTGATGATTATCCACAAATAGAACAATTTAAATTAATAAAAGAAATAATATATGAAAATTCCAATGAATTAGAAGTAGGATTTCCACAAAATATATTTAAATATTCAGAACCGTCTGAATTGTCTCGAATTAGAAATTCATTTGTCCAAAATCACATAGATATAACTAAAAAAGAGTACAGAAACCTATTTGGTTTAAATAATAAAATACAATTCTCATTTGTCGATCTAAAAGTCGATGAAAATTATCACATTCTAGTTCATAATACAGATAGATGTATGCGTGACATAAAAATATTTTTAAATAACACAAACCAATCTCCACAGATAAAAGAAATTAATACAAAAATATCTCTAAATGCCAATCATTGGTACGAAATATTAAGGAAAGAATCATTTTGGATCGTAGAGCTATACGGTTATTACCGCATAGCCAGACCATAATCGAACCAAAAGAATTGGAAAATCTCAAAATTAAAATAAAAAAAAACCTAGCATGGAAACCACACCAAATACCTTCTGCCATACGAAATTTGGAATTTTCCATGGAGGCTTGGGACGATAATCTAAATGGCAACGCAATAAGAAAAATAATTCATAATGATAAGAATAAAAAGCCAATAATTTTTTTTATGGGGGTGTCTGTGACGTTAAAATTTTAAATCTAATGGGAATTACAAAAATAAATGGATTAAACATCTTGGGCAAACAATTTCAAAAAATAAGCTTAGATTTTTTTTATGTATACTAAATTTTAATGAAAAAATAATAATAAAAATTCCACTTCCTCCCATAAAAAAAACGGCAATCTACTTAACTTAGGAGAGGTACACAATCTTGTATGTACAGAAAAACATAATGGATTAGCACACGATCCTAGACATGATGTGCAAATGGTCGAATGCATATTAAAATACGTATCACGCACAATAGGATACGAGCAATTTATTAATATTATTAATTCCTAATTTTAAATTTATAACTATAAAATTCTTAAAAAAAAAAAAAAATATATATATATATATATAAAAATATATATATTAAACTAAAAAGTGCAATTCATTTGCTACGTCATACTTACATACAAATTATTATAACTATACTGCATGCTATTTTATCTCATCAATTAAATCTTACATTAGAAATTATTATAACTAATTTAACTGCATGCTATTTTATCTTATCAATTAACTTTTGCGTTAGTATTAACCTTAGAATGACAGTAAAATATATTTAAATTACAAATCATAACTTTAAGTAAAACAAAAAAAAACAGAAAAGATTTCAATCTTATTTTCATACATTTTTTAATGTATTAAAATAAAATAAAAACATAAAATTACAAAAGAACAAAAAAAATATATACCAGATTTTAAATTAATCATTATTTTTAGTATTAACCTTTAGCATAGAGAAATTTATAATAACAAAACAGGGACCTTTAAGTTTTGCATTATTAACATTTGCTTTATTAAAATATTTTAAATCATTCATAAAAATAATTTTATATAAAAAATATATATATTTATTTTATAAAACTTAAATACTTAAGATTCAAGATATAGATTTAACATTCACATTAACTATAACTAAACTAATACAAAATGTAATATATTTTATAAATTTTACTTTAAAGTATCAAATTACTATCAATTTTTATAAGCTATATTAACTTTACTCTATTTATCACTTAACTAAGTGAAACTTATAATTTTTATTTGTCAATAATCATTTTATACTTTTATCACTCAAAATAAAATAATAAATAATTTTAAATTTTAACCTTTATATTTTAGCTTAACTATTCAATAATTAATTTAAACCTTTAGGTTGCAAGTATTATTAGCTATAAGTCAGTAAAAAAAAGGGAGAAACAATTATAAATATTAGCATAGAATATATATATATATATATTGTAAAGATTTCACACTCATGTAAATATTTTAATATTGTATAAACTACTACCTCAATAATTATGCAATCAAAATTCAACAATCAAAACAAAAATTAATTAAATTTATGAATATTGACTATATTACTTAAATTAACTTCTTCAGGTGCAATAATGTCTTTCAATACCAGAGAATCATTATACAACGATGAAACCATCAATAAGTTTATGAACCTTATTGTTAAAAGAGGCGAGGGTAACATTTATGCCTTTGATTCCTTCTTTATTCCAAGTATTAAACGGAGAGGCATAGATATTATCAATGCCAAGTTCAAGCACGACGTATTTTCCAAAAATTTATTGATGGCACCATTAAATATCAATAACAATCATTGGATCATTGCTATTGTAGATGTGAGCCAGAAGGAAATTATTGTCTATGACAGCTTAGACTGTCACAATGGTAAGGAAGTTAAAATATTACAGTACTTTTTATGTGAACATAAACATACCAAGTATGGGACTTCATCACCGTGGTTTCTCTTCAGAGGAGAGACCACAAACCAGGAAAATGAATATGATTGTGGACCATGGATTTTAGCAATAGCGGACAGATATTCTAGTGGTCAGCCACCCATGCCGAATCAAAAATTAATGGCAGGTATCAGAAAGGAACATGAATAGGCAATATTAAATAACACATTGCATTATAACTATGATGCCAATCAGTTTACAAATCATCTACCACTAAGACCGTCCACTCCCACTGGCATACAAATTATTTATATGGATACCAGACCATTAAAAACAATCAAAAACTCAAGAAGAAAAATCAAACTTGGCCTAAAGAAAAGTTCCAGGATAAGAAAAACATTAAAAAAAACGGTAGCACAGTGGGGTCGAGGCACAGTGTGGACGAGGCATAGATGGGAGAAGTATAGATGATATCTGACAGTGATTAAAATCACTAACATAAGAAACGCTTCGATGCAAATCTGTAGATAGTGTTTTATTTAGAGAGATTGGAGTGATTATTCCAAAAGCAACATCAACTCTTATTTCTTTAATTATATCCTGATTTGTAGTTCTTTGATTTTAAAATATAATATATGAATAAATACTAATTATAGTTTTTAAATTTAGTATGAAATTGTGAAGTCAGCTATGATGTATAGTTCATAGTGTTGGGAGGTTGATAAGAAAGTAGAGCAGAGAATAAGTGTAGCAGAGATGAGAATGCTTAGTTGGATGAGTGGAGTGACTAGAGAAGATAGGATAAGGAACGAGCATATAAGAGGAAGTATAGGTGTTGCGTCAATCGTGGATAAGATGACAGAAAATAGACTTAGATTGTTTAGTCGTGTTATGAGGAGAGAAGAATCGGAAGCTGTAAGAACAGTTATAGAAATGAATGTTGAAGGAAGAAGAATAGAAAGAACCAAAAAAGAGATGGAGGGAAGCTATTGAATGCGATTTGAGGACAGCTGATGTGAGTGTAGAAGATGTGGGAGATCGTGTCAAGTGGAAGCTTAGGATAAGGGTGGCCGACCCCGAGTACTTAGGATTTAGGCAAAAAAAAAGAAAAATATTATCAGAAATTCCGGTGGCAATTGACATAATATGATTGTTGTTTCGGAATGTACAATTTAGCGTTTAGTTGGGTTTAAATAATATAGCGTCAAATCAATTACCTACTCTATCGCTTGTATATTAATATACACTACACTTTAATGATACAATAAATAAATAAACTCACACATACACACATATGCATTTATAACATTGTGTCTAACGTAAGTGTAACATGATAAAAAGTAACCGTAAAATGAAAAAAATGGAATATAAATTTTAGTACTCATATTAAATGTAATGTAACTCGAAAAATATTTGTTTAAATGAAAAAATATACGATAATTTTTTTGTTTATAACTGTCTTTTAAACACCTTTTGTAAGAAACTTTTTTTTGTAAGTTAAATATTTTTTGAGAAAATTAAAAAAGCTCATATTTTTGAACTTTTACGAGGCTGTAAAAAAAAAGCTCAATTCCAATCTTGAGGACTATTAGTATGTCATTATACATATTTTAATTCAACTTTTAAAAAAACAAAATTTTTTCCGCAATTTTTCCTTTGTTGACTGGCCTAGATGTCAATTTTAAACTTGTAATTGAGCTAAAAGTTATGGTAATATATTCAATTTATTTTACTATAAACTTTCATAAATCTTTATCAAAAATTTTTCATCAACTTTAAAGAACCAAAAAAATAGGTTAAAATTGAAAATTTGGACTGATTATTTTTAACATATTAAAAATCAAATCAGTAATAATTTGAAAACAAATTTTTTTTTCTTTTAATTATTATTTTATATATATAATTAGTAATAATATAAAAAATTAGAAGTGATAGAAATAGTCTACTTGCAGATTTGAAAACAACGCGAAAATTTGATTTAGAAAAGTACATTTTTGCTTCTGATGAATGTTCCTTGAAGTCCAGTGCATTCATTTATAGTTACAAACAGGTTTTATTGAAAATTATTGTATCAAGCCCTTTATATTTGTATACACGTAAAAGTAAAGCAAAATATAACTTCTTTATTATTTTTATAATTTCTCCGTTTAAATTACAATATTAAATATCAATTTCATACTAAATTTAATAATTATAATTAGTATATATTCAAATATTATATTTTAAAATCAAAGAACTACTAATCATGATATAATTAAAGAAATAAGAGTTGATGTTGCTTTTGGAATAATCCACCAATTGCCTAATTAAAACAAAAAAAAAAAAAGTTTGTTGGGAATTTTTTCTGCTATTCTGCAAAATTACTCCTTCGTTGACTAGAATGAATCATTAAATAGAAAATTTTATGAGAATTAAAACAATGTTATTTTTAAGATTAATATGCAGTCAGAAAGTTTTATAATTATTATTTATTGTAAATTTATCAGAAAAACTCATTATTTTTTGCATTTTTATCGTAATAGAACACTTAAATAGAAATCATAGTAATCATTTCTAAGTAATTTTTGATATTTAAAAAGATTCTACTATTGAAATATCCAGAACTGAATTAATTTTAATGATTTACTTTAACTAAAAAAAAAAAAGTTAATATTTTGAATCCCTCTTGTGGGCAGGTAAAGGGTTAGATTTATAAAAAAAAACCAAATGATAGATAAAGACATGCATCTAAATAAAAAAAAATATACTGATTTGGTCATTTTTGATAAAGTTATAATAGTTAACAAAGTTAGAAGTTTTATACATTGTACTACAAGTAACTTTAATCAGAAACAAAAATATACTATTCTAAATCAACTTTTCGCGACGTTTTCAAATTTGCAATTAGACTTTTTCTATCACTTCTAAGTTTTAATATTATTAAAAAATAGTATTTACATATAAAAAAAAATAATTAAGAACAAAAAAAATTGTTTTAAATTAATACTGATTTGATATAATATTTAATATTAATTTGATTATTAATAAGTTAAAAATAAGGAAAATGACATATTTAACCTATTTTGTTAATCGTTTAAAGTTGATTGTTGTAAATGTTTATAATAAAAAAAAAATTTATTTTACCATAACTTATAGCTCAATTGGCAAGTTTGAAATTGACATCATAAGTAGAAAATTTTATGAGAGTTAAAAAAATTGTATCGTTAAGATTAATATGCAGTCAGAAAGTTTTATAATTACTATTTATTGTAAATTTATCAGAAAAACTCATTATTTTTTGCATTTTTATCGTAATAGAACACTTAAANTTTTTTTCAATTTTTGAGGGTAATATCTTCAACTAGATACGAATTGTAGTCATTTGACGTATAACGGTTTGTTATAAAACATAAGTTTTACCAACTCGGCAACCGTACGTCGATACTGTCGGTTTAAAAATTGGCTATTTAAGCTAGTTCAAATTTCAAAGTTATTTTTTTCGACTTAAAAGAAACAAACAAATTTAAATAAGTTTAACTTTCTATGCTATATTAATTTTTTATTTATATAATATTTATGAAAATCTGTACTCCCCTTGTCAGGTATTTTAAAATAAAATAAAAAATACAAAACCCAGAATTTTAACACAAAAATAGCAAATTTTTGATTACGGTAGTCATTTTTACAATGAAGACAAATCCAGAGGTCAAATTTTTTTTTTCAAATTAAAGTATATTACATAAGATTTAATTTAAGATATATATAAAAGTGTCAGTATTTCCGGAATACTTTCAAAAATGAAATTGAAAAAGTTCTACTTTCTATACGCATTTTAAAAGGTTTGCACCCCCCCTGTATAAAGGGAAATGGTCCGATTTTAAAAAAAAGTATGTCGAATGAAAGAAGTATATATAAAGTATTTATCATTAAAGAATAAAGTTGATTCATGCATTTTTTAAAAAGTTATAGCAACATAATGTTAAAAAATGTAAAATATAATATCAAGAATTTTTTCACAAAAATAGCATATTTTTGCATACGGTAGTCATTTTCACCATGAAGACAAGTCCAGAGGTCAAATTTTTTTTTTTCAAATTAAAGTATATTACATTAGCTTTAATTTAAGGTATATATAAAATTGTCAGTCTTTCCGGAACATTTTCAAAAGTTAAGTTGAAAAAGTTAATTTTTTGTAAAAAAGTTACCATTTTGAAACCCCATCCTTTGGGCTGTTAAAGGGTCAAATGTTCACAAAAATATATAAAATGATAGGTAATTATCTAAGGTATCTATAAAAAAAAAAATTATATTGATTCGGTCATTTTTAAAAAAGTTATGGCAATTTTAAGTAAAAAAAATTGAAAAAATATCGAAAATTAGCGATTTTTAAATTTGTAATTTTTTGGGGGATTTCCCCCGTTTACGGGGAACGAGGGAATTTTTTTCAATTTTTGAGAGTAATGTCTTCAACTAGATACGATTTGTGATCTTTTGACATATT